CTGGGTATACACTTCTGTGCGGTGCGGAAGATGTCAGAGGATGTACGACGGCTAAACTACTGTATGGCTCGTGGGTGAGTATCTTTGGTGTACCCCTTAGTGTTACCGGGGACAACTTCATCGACTCGCCGTCACTGCGCACGCCGCTCCTGTCCTGTGGTGTGCGCTTCAACACGGTCCCGGCATACTCACCATTTTCGAATGGCAGTGCTGAGGAAAGGGTCGGACGTGTCAAACGCGTCCTCCCGACAACCAAACTGCCATGGGATCAAGCCTTACCTTTTGTCCAGTTGTCGATCAACTCCCAAAAGCGAGTCTCTGGCCATTCGGCGGCGGAGCTCATGTTTGGCACGCAAATCCGCACTCCTTCTGCATCGGTCCTATCTGCCATCACAAACAATACGCCCATCGTCCACATCGGAGATCTTGAAACATTAGCTACATCTGCTGAGGTACCAGAGGCCCTCAGGGAAGTTCTCAAGAGCTCGGTGGGCGCGGCTCGAATCTCCACTCTTCAAGCCCACGTTCGGGACTGCCTTCGAGCCTCTGCGTCTCGGCCAGGTCGTCCACTGAAAGATGGTGAGCTCGTGGTGTGGCGCCGTCCTGAGTCTCGACCCGTTGAAGGAACGGTCAGATTGGTCAGTGGCGTCCATACTGAAGATGGTCCCTTCTGCTACCTTGGATCGTTGGCTGGTTTCGTGACTAGGTTACACCCACTAGGCAGCCCACCTGGTCACTCTGTCAGCGTTTCTGCCTGTCATCTGGAATCCAGGCATGCCTTTGTAGAAAGAGACCGTCCAACTATGGCCGTTGAAACCGAGATCCCCTTCACTTCGATAAAACCTGGTCAGGTTATTCTTGCCAGGCTGTCGTGTGGTGCTGATGCTATCGGAAAGGTCATGGCCGAAACTGACAATGACGATACTGTCGCTCATGGCTCACTAGTGGTCCAGATCTACGACTCGCATGATGGCAATAAATTTTTCCCGGTGTGGTTATCTCATGACGGTTCCACTTACACTGGTGACACTCCGGAAAACGCTCAGCGGGACAGTCCGCTCCTGCGTACGGTGTCTTCGGTACTCATGCGTATCAATCTGACTCCGACGAACATGCTCAAGGACACCTCACGCGCGGCTATGGTTGAGGCAGGATACCTTGAGGCGTAATCTTTTTTCTTTTTGCAGCTCTTCAGCACTCGACCTTGGGGGACGTCTACAGCGTTCCGCTCTTAGGAAGGTCTCTGTGCTGAGGCTGCTCTCGCGTGCGTGCGACTACT